ACCTTCCCTGCCTCCTCAGTGGGAAAGCTCTGTGTGCCCAATCTTCCTCCAAAACCTCCTCAGTTCTTCCTGCAGAGCTCCAATATTTTCCTCCCCATGAATAATGCTGAATTTATCTACCCAATACCTCTGTGCTGTATTATTATTGCCATTTTTCAGCAGAGGAACTAAAACAGAGAGATTAAGGCCAAAGTTAATAGCCACCTCCAACCGTTCTGGCTTCAGTGACTTGCCCAACGTCCTAGAAGCAGCCTGTGGCAGAGGCAGGGATAGAATACAGCTTTTGAGGATACCACTTTATTGCCTTCAACTTTGGGTCACTCTTTCTTCTCATACCAGCCTATCTCATCCACTGCATAGATATTCCACCCTGTGAAACTATATGCTAGGCACATTTATTGGTGTACCTGTCATTGTTTTGCAAGAAAAGGCTCATTGCACAGAAAGTATGGGGAAATACGTAGATTTCACCTAACCTTTTAGAGAGTTGGTTTTGCTCTAAGTAGGATCTCAATTCTATTCCTGGCTCTGCCAGGAATTAACTGGTGACATTTCTCTCAGGCTCCTGATCTACCCATTTTTCAGAAAAATTTGGTTGTGTGTGTTTTTTTTTTCCTCCTAAATTTTTAGAGAAGATGCCAAGTTAGAGTTTAAACTTAGCTGCAACTTTATTCAAAGTGGCTGGGGGGAGGGAGGAAGGAAGGAAATTCTGTACTGTTGAACCACAATGATCTCTGCATTAGGTCACCAGCAGTTTTTGAATGAAGGATCGTCAGATCCACTCAGACTCCTCTATCCCTAGAACTAACACACAGCTTTCAAAGGATTTTAACAGCTGCTTGTTAGACAGCAGTAGAATTTTGGAAATCAAGGAGTCCTGAGTTCTGTTTCAGGCTTGGGCTTTGGGGACTGGTGTCTAGTGGTAACAGGCTATCCAAGTCCATAACTTTGGCACATTCATTCATGAAGATTGGGTGGGCTAAGCGGATGAGAGTTGATTCTTTCATATTAAAGCAGTAGGTTCTGTTTCCAGCTCTAGAAGTCACCTTGTGCAACCTTTCCATTATTTTATCTGTAAAATAGAGCAGAATGTGGCGATAGTTGCCTGCTCCTGGTTATGGGTATGAGGTTTTGGTCAATAATAAAGATTGTAAAGTGCTCAGAAATATGAGTAGGCATCATCTGAAGATGAGTCAGGTGAGCCCAGAATTCATGATCTGGTGGACTGTAGTTCAATGCACATTCCCCTAGGGAAAAGAGTATTTGGTAGGGGAAGTTTTTTTTTGTTTCCTCTTTCCCTCCTACAGTAGAGGAAGGAGCTGTATCTTGGGCACTCCTTGATCAATAGCCTCAGTTTTTCTCTACCAAGTCTACCCTTGCCTTTGACCTACCTTATTACATTTTAAGCCAATCTGATTATGTATGTATATTTTAGATGCAAAATTCTGATTTAAACTGAAACTTAGCTGCAACCTTAGCTATGGAGAGGTGATACCCACTCCATAATGTTTATACCAACGTTACAGATGAGAAAACTGAAGAACGCTGAGGTTGTGACCTGCCGCAGGACATTCAGGAAGATTGTGGAAGACCTAGGAATAGAGCCAACATCTCTTGATTTCTAGATCACTACTTCAACCACCTCAGTTGTTTTGGGGTTAAATTGAGGGAATAGTATTTGTTAGAATTTTAGCTCCTTATTCTGGTTAGTGAATTGTTCATTAGCTGATTCTATGTTCTTTTCAAGCATCTACTGAATAGTTTGAGCAAAGAATTTTTAGATTACTGGTTGGTTGTGAATGGTTCACTACAGCTATTTATTATGTGGCTGTTCTCATGACCTGGGTTCTGTTTCTTGACTGGATGACTGAAATATTTTAAACAGGAGAATAATGAAAATATGTTTACTCATACGAACACTTGTATCAGGAAAAAGCTCTCCGTACAATACATGAAGACATTGATATTACAAATTCTTTCACAGCAATTGTCTATAACAAATAACATAAGATCAAGCCAGCAAAACCTGAACATGGTGGTTTTATTTCTGAAAATATTCATGAATCCATTTTTTAAAATGATTTAACTAACTCTCGTGGGAACTTTCTGAAACAAATCAACTATTGCACATCTCCAACAAATCCTCCTATAAGTGTTTCCAAGTCTAAGAACCTGTGAGGCTACAATTAAGTCTGCCGCTGATGGTATAGAAAAGAGAACCGTAGCTGTAGACAAGACATGCTCATGGTAGTTTTTGACAATAGGCCATGTTCTCTCAGTTACATTATAACAACTTCCATTGGACATCCCTGAACTTTCTGTTTTTAATTGAGAAGAAAGAAAATTCCTGAGAAATGGGTTGTAAAGCTGAAAAGGTTAACAATAAGTAACAGACCATGTAGTTTTTTGGGGCCCTAGCTCAAAAGTGTTCTGGGATGTGGTCTAAAAGCTAGAGATACTAATGCCTACTTTCCGTTATCCTCAGACTGTTCTGATACGGTGGTCTCTCTCTCTCTCTCTCTCTCTCTCTCTTTATAATTTAGAGACCAGGGGGGTGAGGTAAAATCTTTTATTGGACCAACTTCTGTTAGTGAAGGACACAAGCTTTTGAGCTTACACAAAGCTCTTCTTCAAGTCTGGGACATGTACTTAGAGTGACACGGTTAAACACAAGGTGACACAGATTTTTTTTAGCATAAGTAGTTAACACTTATTTCAAGGGACCACTGGTGAAGCAGTCAGTTAACACATCTCCAGTTATAAGGGGTGAAAGGAAGAAAAAATAATATATAAATAGTATATTTGTCAGGAATACAAATTATAAATAACAAAACTAACAAGAGTGTGGGAGCTTTTTAACATTCAACTACTTTTGTGTTTTAAATTTAATATTCTGAATGATTTCCTGTGTATTTTATGTAGTGAGCTGTATGATCTGTGTCTGTCATAGATTATAAGATTGGGAGAGGAGTATAGGTGGTCAAAATGTTTGTTGAAATGTTGTTTTTTAATGAAAAATAGCTTCGATGAAAACGAGAAATCTCAATTATTTTTTGATAAAAATGAAAAATATTTCTTTCCTCAAAATTTTTCATGGGGGCCAAGAGGGAAGAAATATTTGGTCATTTAGCTGTAGATGGGAGCCATGTGTTTGTACACTGCTGGACATACTAGTGATACTTATTAATTTTTTTTATTCTTATTTCTTTACTAACAATAGCCTCATTCACGTCTACATTTGAGGAAGAATCTACAGAGATTTCTATTGCCCCTGTTTGTTTAAAAATGTGACTTACTATTCAGTTTAACATGTTTTCTTGGAGTAATTCCACCTTATTTGTGATAGTGAATTCAAGCATTACAATAGTGGATGAGTAAAGTAAAATACAAAAGCAATTAAACTTACCATGGAACTTTTATGAAATTCCATAGACTTTAGATAATAGTCCATATAGCTGTCGAGGAGGAAAACAATAACATACAGTTTGGTTTGAACCTCTGTGTAGATATTTGTTATCCTTGATCCCCATTCTAAAAAATAAACTATGCCCAGGCTTCTGATCCATTTGCAATTGTTTATCATTGGTTTGTTCTAAATAACACTCAGAGTTCACCACCTCTTTAGATCGTCCTCGGCAGAAATGATTTATCTTTGAGACTCATAAAAGTACTTCTGAAGATCTTTGGACTGCACCAGCTTACATCAAATGTCAGGTATTTTAAAACGTTTTCCCTGCAGGGGAATTACCATTTTCCCATAACACAAGCCAAACACTGTGCTGTTTTTATCAATATATTCAGTACACTTTTCAGGAACAAATTCCAGCAAAGTGCTCTTAATGTAAGTGATGTCAGTGCACTCACTGTAAGTGGTGGTGTCTCCCTTCTTGTTTAGGGTTATAAGAAAGTGTTTTTGTTTGCAGGGTCAGTTCAGATCCAAGTCATGAAGGCTCCATCACATCAGGGCCAGGTTAAAAGCTGGTGGAACATTTAATGCTCCTGCTCCAGTGCTATGTGGATAGAAGTGTGAGCTACTACCCATGGAGCGAGGGTTCCAAGATGGTGAGTAGCAGTCCCTGGGGAATCAGGACATCTTTCATATCTTTGAGCCCGGGGAACATGATGGGTACTTCTGTTCTCCTGTTTAACAAGAACCCTGAATCCAGTATTTCCTTTGTACACTCACAAACACATTTAGTAGTACTGGGCACATTCCCTTGTACTATCCCAGATCTTTCCCACTCCTTCACAGCTTGCATGGCAGAATAGTTTGGGGCAGGCTGATGTAGGGAAGAAAGTGACACAGTGAAATTTGAGCCATGCAGCAGGTGGGAGACCTCAAATGAGTGGTTTCACAGGGAGCCTCTGATTTGCTCGAATGTCCCCACTTCCTTCCACTGCTCCCTGCTAGTGTATTTACTTGGTCTAAGAGGGGAAATTATGCATGAGGCTGTGCTATGTGTAACTGTGATTTTGATTTACAGAGGTTTGTCCAGATCTAGTCTTTAGTTTTGACCAATGATTGTTTGCACCCATTGTGTTTTGCTTTGTGCTTCAGGACCAAATGGACCCCAAAACTGAAAGCAAAACTAAGTCCAAAATGTGAAATTCTACCTGCTTTCATAGCCTGACTGTGCAAAGCGGCAAATTTCACCTAGTTGACCCAAGAAGCCATAAATCAAAGGCTTACTCAATGTGAGCTGAGTTTGCAACAGAGCCAGGAACAAGTCATGTTGCTGTTCTTTTGCAAACTTTCTGTGCAGCTGTAAAGGTAGAAGAAACTTACTGCAAAGATGGAGAATCCCAAAACGCTACAGAGGAGAACCTCTCTCTCTGCCCCTACTAATACATACAAAAGAGAAACAGCACATCAGCATCAGAAACTGGAAGCTCAGTAAGGATTCTGTCACTGGCACCAGGTCAGTGAAATGTGAACCTATTTGAATATAAAAGGGAACAGGAATATCTTGGGTAGGCACTAGGACCCCACGAATGCCTATATGAAATGCTGCTTGGCAGCATGTCAGTGGCACAGAGCTTCCTCAGCTGTTACACAAGACAAGGAGCAGCATTTGGAGCAGCATTTTCCTCCTGAAACCTGCAAGGTATTTAGCTATCTACCATTTATCTTTAGGATTCTTAGATTATAAAGCCTTGGAGCTGCTTATTTCATCCTTATTTATTTCCAGCATCTCAGTGGTTTATATTATTGTTGTTATGTTTTTATATTTCTGTAGATCAGATGGGAGCAACAGTGCCATAAAGAAATGGGCTAGTTATTTCCAGTTAGTGAGACCTGGGAGTATTGTACACCAAAAGTGTAAGTACGTGTTTTATCTTTATTATGCTGTTTATCACTGCTTGTTCCTTTGGTTTGCATTGTATTCCCCCTTCAGAGAGGGGAAGGAAACGTTGATGGGCTGATCTAGGAAGAGAAACCTGGATCTTCTGTTCACCCGTTGTGGAAAATGTCTAGCAAATGCCTGAAAAATCCTAAGTACTAGGGAGACATTGTGTGTTTTCTTCCAGCTTGTGAGATGGTGGATTTTGATGAGGATAGCAGATTTTTTTTTCCCATTGTGACTTTTTCTTCCTTGCCTGGGATGGAAAATAGATTTTGCTGGATTCTGTGAGCAAAGCTCGCAACTGGTTTATGTGTGCTCCATTCGCAGGGTTGAAGAACTGTTTGTTTTCTTTGTAATCACTTGTCCGATGCAGCATATTTTCTGAACATATCTCTAGTTTTCCAATTTCAAGATAGTCCCATCAGATATGTCATTCATTCATTGCTAGAAGGGTACAGAGATATTCATGAATCTTAACTGAAGCCAATGGATTGCTTCCTACTTATAAGGTTCACATTCAATGCTAACAATAGTCAGATGTAATCTTGGAAACAGATCATAGACAGTTTTTTCCCATTCATTGAAGCAAGTTGTATTTGGTCTAGATATGCAATTTTGTTAGCCATTAAAAGGTTTGTGATAATCTTTTAGATATGATTGCAATTTCCCTTTAACTACTCTGCATGTAGATAGCTACCACAGAATCTGACATACAGATTGGTCAAGGGCATATAGAGCACTGGATACCAGTTGGAAAAAAAAGTTTAATGAAAGAAGTTTTGATTGCAGTTTGAACTTAAGTGGATGTGACTACTGCTTGTCAATGGACTATGTGTGTAATTAAGGAGACAAGGATTTGGCCCAATCCCAATCTATGCTAGAAGCATTTACTTTACGAAGAGTAAAATAATTTATTTGGATTTTAGAGAAATGCAAACAACCAATATGACTTATAAATGGCAAGTGTACACTAAAGAAGACTCAGGCTTTATAATTTTAAATGGATTGATTTAAAAAGTGAGTGTTTTTAACTAATGACCAAAATTCAACTGGCAATGGGCCAAACTCATAGGTGAGTCTAAGGTAGTAAAAGGGCTGTAATTTATAACAACATGTGCATGACTGCTAAATTTGAGCCAAAATTTAAACAATCCAAAATATATTTTTGCAGAGAGGGATAAATTAAAGCATTCTCTGGGGAAAGGGGTGGGATGTTGTATCCCATGTTCATTTCTCTTTTTAAGAGAGTTAGAGCACAACTTAGATGCAAAATTCCCATAGAGTTAAAAGTAAGGTGGCACAATGAGACCTGAGGATTTAAGAGGTTTTTTTTGTAGTTTCCCTTAGAGCCATTTTAAATACAGTGAGTAGTTTCCACATGATTTAATTTAATAGCTAGATACAATTCAGATTGTATTACTTGGTAATAAAAGGTTTCAGAGTAGCAGCCGTGTTAGTCTGTATCCGCAAAAAGAAAAGGAGGACTTGTGGCACCTTGGAGACTCACCAATTTATTTGAGCATAAGCTTTCGTGAGCTACAGCTCACTTCATCGGATGCATAAAGTGGAAAGTACAGTGAGGAGATTTATATACACACAGACCATGAAATGTTTATCATACACATTGTAAGGAGAGTGATCACTTAAGATGAGCTATTAATACATACAATGTGTACGATAAACACCCATTTTTTCATGGTCTGTGTATCTAAATCTCCTCACTGTACTTTCCACTTTATGCATCGGATGAAGTGAGCTGTAGCTCACGAAAGCTTATGCTCAAATAAATTGGTTAGTCTCTAAGGTGCCACCAGTACTCCTTTTCTTGTTGTAATATTGTGACCTATAGGCCTGTAATCGAGTGACCAGAGAGATTGAAATGTTCTCCGACTGGTTTATGAATGTTCTAATTCTTGACATCTGATTTGTGTCCATTTAGTCTTTTACGTAGAGACTGTCCAGTTTGCCCAATGTACATGGCAGAGGGGCATTGCTGGCACATGATGGCATATATCACATTGGTGGATGTGCAGGTGAACGAGCCTCTGATAGTGTGGCTGATGTGATTAGGCCCTGTGATGGGGTCCCCTGAATAGATATATGGGCACAGTTGGCAACAGACTTTGTTGCAAGGATAGGTTCCTGGGTTAGTGGTTCTGTTGTGTGGGGTGTGGTTGCTGGTGAGTATTTGCTTCAGGTTTGGGGGCTGTCTGTAGGCAAGGACTGGCCTGTCTCCCAAGATTTGTGAGTGATGGGTTGTCCTTCAGGATAGGTTGTAGATCCTTGATAATGCGTTGGAGAGGTTTTAGTTGGGGGCTGAAGGTGATGGCTAGTGGCATTCTGTTGTTTTCTTTGTTGGGCCTGTCCTGTAGTAGGTGACTTCTGGGTACTCTTCTGGCTCTGTCAGTCTGTTTCTTCACTTCAGCAGGTGGGTATTGTGGTTGTAAGAATGCTTGATAGAGACAAACACCTACAAGATCTCTGTCTGAGGGGTTGAAGCAAATGCAGTTGTATCGTAGAGCTTGGCTGTAGACAATGGATCATGTGGTGTGGTCTGGGTGAAAGCTGGAGGCATGTAGGTAGGAATAGCGGTCAGTAGGTTTCCGGTATAGGGTGGTGTTTATGTGACCATTGCTTATTAGCACTGTAGTGTCCAGGAGGTGGATCTCTTGTGTGGACTGGACCAGGCTGAGGTTGATGGTGGGATGGAAATTGTTGAAATCATGGTGGAATTCCTCAAGGGCTTCTTTTCCATGGGTCCAGATGATGAAGATGTCATCAATATAGCGCAAGTAGAGTAGGGGCATTAAGAGACGAGAGCTGAGGAAGCGTTGTTCTAAGTCGGCCATAAAAATGTTTGGCATATTGTGGGGCCATGCGGGTACCCATAGCAGTGCCGCTGATTTGAAGGTACACATTGTCCCCCAAATGTGAAATAGTTATGGGTGAGGACAAAGTCACAAAGTTCAGCCACCAGGTTTGCCGTGACATTATCGGGAATAGTGTTGCTGACGGCTTGTAGTCCATCTTTGTGTGGAATGTTGGTGTAGAGGGCTTCTACATCCATAGTGGCCAGGATGGTGTTTTCAGGAAGATCACCGATGGATTGTAGTTTCCTCAGGAAGTCAGTGGTGTCTCAAAGATAGCTGGGAGCGCTGGTAGCGTAGGGCCTGAGGAGGGAGTCTACGTAGCCAGAAAATCCTGCTGTCAGGTGCCAATGCCTGAGATGATGAGGCGTCCAGGATTTCCAGGTTTATGGATCTTGGGTAGCAGATAGAATACCCCAGGTCGGGGTTCCAGGGGTGTGTCTGATACAACTGACTTAGGCTTGAATAGAGACTGGGAGTGGATGGGTCATTACACAAAGTAAAACTATTTCCCCATGTTTATTTCCCACCCCCACCCTCCACTGTTCCTCAGACATTCCTGTTAACTGCTGGAAATGGCCCACCTTGATTATCACTACAAAAGGTTTTCTTCCCCCTCCCACCCCCGCTCTCCTTCTGGTAATAGCTCATCTTAAGTGATCACTCTCCTTACAGTGTGTATGAAAACGCCCATTTTTTCATGTTCTGTGTGTATATAAATCTCCTGACTGTATTTTCCACAGTATGCATCCGATGAAGTGAGCTGTAGCCCACGAAAGCTCATGCTCAAATAAATTGGTTAGTCTCTGAGGTGCCACTAGTACTCCTTTTCTTTTTGGTAATAAAAGTCCATGATCCAATATTTTCTGCAGACAGGATACAGTAAAATCAGAATGAATTCTCCAGTGTCATACTATGGGGATGAAATGAACTAAATAACCTCTTCAACCGTTCATGTCTAATACTTGTTGAATATACATAGTCTGTGCATTTTTATCTTTTCGAGTATATTCACTTGAGTAACTGTATTCTATAATTCCACTTCTTTACATGTAAACACTATATACAAACACATACTGAAGCAGCAGAAAACACCTGGCACTGACTCACAAAATCAAGGCTATTTTGGCTTCTGCACTATTATTTCACTCCCACTTAGAAAGTGGCGGTAGCTCAGAATTAGAACTGTGCAAATAATGAATTTTTTGGTTCACTGGCAATTCTGAAAAATACAAAAGAAAAACAATTGTGGATCAAGCTGAAAAGAGGATTTTTGGGTTTTTTTTGTTTTTTTTTTTGGAAATTTCAATGAATTGAAAAGTAAATTTTGTTTCAGGTCAAACAAAAGGTTTTTTGAACAAAATCAAAATATTTGACTTCGATTTTGATAATTTTAAAACATTTTTTATTTTTATTTTAATTTTTCTAAATTAAAGTCATTTTGAAAATGTCAAAACATTCTGAGGGGTTCTTTTTGAAGGATTTTGTTTTGAGCCAAACAATTTGGTGAAAATGATACAAATTTGCTAAATGTTTTGGTGTCACTGAATCTTCATTTGTCACTGGGGAAAAATATTTTGGCCAAAAAATGTTGCCCAGCTCTACCCTTAGGTTAGACATTGATTAGAACTATGTAGTTTTGGATCTGGATCTAGATCTCCATTTCAGCTCTAGTCCTCCAAAAATTCAGGGGTGTATGAATCCCAAGGTTTGGCTCTATCTTGTTATAGAGCTAACACCCATGATGTGAAATTTAGATCTGGGTCCAAATTCTAATCCACTTGCCCAGCTGTGTGAGTTGTCAAGGCTGGGGCTTTCACTTGAGCCTATGTGTAACTGTCCTATGCTTACAATTAGTTTTTGTGTATATTTGTTCAAAAGAACATTATTAAGGGTGCACTATCAAGCACTCAGAAGTTAACACCTGCCTGTGCAACTTTAAGTCAGCCCTTTGTGCATATGCATTATGATACAGTCTTTTATTATACATTGCCTCATCCAAAACACAGGATGGAGCTGCTCTGGGGGGTGAGTCAGGGTTGTACAGTGAAAGAGACTTTCGTCTGTAGTACCCCTGCTTCATTTACTACAGAAGTTGGAAGGTGAGT